TTCATGCCTGGTATGTACAACACATTGGAGATTACTGACCTTTTGCCATCTTTCCTCATAATCATAACATCACCAATACCTTCAGCTGCTAGGGTATTTCCATTTGCAAATTTTACCACACTTTCCATTGAGGGCTTTATGTTGACAAACTAGTCTTTCCTTCCAGACATATGTGATGAACATCCTGAATCCAAGTACCATTGGTCCTTAAATATATCTTCATCTTTTCTTGTGACCATCATCATCATCTCTTCTTCTTCATGTTTTGCAAGCTTTTCATCACTTTCTTGATTCTTTTGTTTTTCTGGACAATCAGTTGAATAATGACCATACTTCTGAAAATTGTAACATTGAATGTGTCTCTTATCATGTTTTCGACCACCACCTCTTCCTTTATTTGCAACACCGCCTCTTTGGTTGCCTTGGTATGGTCTTCTTTGATTCTACATGTGTTCCTTCGATCTGGTTTCCTCTATCATTCGATTTGTTGTAGCCACCTCTACCTCTGTCGAAACATTTTCCTTTGCCTTTGGTTTCTCTTGCTGAATGTGCCTGCAAAGCCACATCACTCTTTGATTTTCCTGCAGCTCTTTCATTCATTCTTTGTTCACGAGATTCAAGTGTCCCTTGAAGCTCTTCCTTTGTCAATTTCAACAAGTCTTTGCTCTCTTCTATTTCCACCACTATATGGTCTAACTTACGAGCTAAAGATCTCAAAATCTTCAAAACAACAACTCTTGTTGTTAATGTTTCTCCACATGCCTTGATTTGATTCACTAGTTTTGTAACTCTAGTGAATAAATCAGATATGTTCTCACTATCTTCCATCTGAAGCAATTCATAGGTTCTCTTGTGAGTTTGTAACCTCACTTATTTTACCTTTTCTGCACCTCCAAAGGACTTCTTAAGAACGTCCCAAGCTTCTTTTGCAGCTTCTGAATCACTCACTTATTCAAAGTTTTCTGGACTCAGACATTGATGAATTATAAATAGCGCTTTATAACTCAACTTCTCAATTTCTATGTGTTTCTTCTTTTCTTCTTCTGAAGCATTTTCTTCATGCAATTATACTCTATCTTTTACAAGGTCCCAAATCCCTTGACACCTGAACAACACTTTCATTTGTTTGCACAAATTCTCATAATTGTCTACTTTCAGAATTGGTATAGTTGTTGAATAATTTGCATTCCCATAATTCACCATCGTGAATTCTTCAAATGTTCTTGATTGATATTTCCCTCGAATCGAAACAAAGCTCTTGATACTAGATGTTGGAAACTCACCAAATATCTATGATGAATTTCTACCACAATGACAATTTAATTATGAGACAAACAAAGAAAGAAGACAAGACAAATAATTTCTGCAGAGTTTCTCTCTGCTCACAAACTATGAAAACTTTATTATTCACTTTGCAACTGCAAAATACTGTGAATGACTTGCTTACAAAAAATAGGGGTTACTCCCTCTATTTATAACTGAGCTTGCACCCTAAGCCTAAAGCCCAAAATATCTATTTTGTTACTAAATCAAATCTAATCTATTCTAGAATCAAATCTATTTAAATCTAAAACAAACCTAGCTTGCTTCGATCCACAAGCTAACCCTTTGACACATAGTTTCAACACACTGAATTACAATTTAACATAGATCCCGTATATAATCACTGAAGCATCAGACAGGGCAACTCGAAGAACTTGAAATCACAAGCCAAATTTGGTTTGCATACCTCAAAGCGGCCAGCTCCCCAAGAAAACCTCAATAGATAAATGCAAAGTATGGTGCCTCGAACACTCTCATAAGAGGTCGACCACCTACGAAGTCGAGGATCCGGTCCTTTAGATCTTGATGGAAGTAAATAAAAAATATGGAGAAGGAAGAAATATTACTTACAAACAATTTCCTTTGAAATTCGTTTAGAAAGATTTTGAAAAAGAACGGTGTCCATGTAAAAATAAGGTTTCATAATTGGTAAAATTCATTTTGCACCACCTGTATCAGGCAAGAGATATTACTTGAGAACTTTGCTTAATTATGTCAAAGGTTCTCAGAGTTACGAGGAAATCAAGACAATAAACAATCTTTTATGTGAAACATTTAATAAGGCATGTTTTGCTATGAGTTTGCTACATGGTGATAAAGCATACAAATTTTTTATTATAGTCAAGAAATTGGGACACATGTGTTATTTTGCTAAAATTATTTGCAGCCCCAACAACTATCTAAATCAGAGATAATTTGGAACAAAACTTGGGAGTATTTAAGTGATGACATCTTGCATATGTAGAGATTCATTCTTCAATTTCTAGGTAATTGTGTATAATATACACTCAATTTCATATATAATACACACTTTGTATATAATCATCTAAATTTCTATATTGTGTATGCTACTAAATTTATTTAATTACTATGGAAGATTTGGAATTATCATATGATGAGATAAAAATTTTGTAGTGGCTGATATTGAATCATTGTTAGAGAGTAAAAATATGAGTTTAAGTGATTTTCTCACAATGTCTCTAACAAATACTTCTCTTGCTTGTGAATGCTAAAATATACCAATTTATGATTAGTTAAATTATGATAGACAACTTTTGACTATAGAACGTATTCAATTGATGTCAACTATGACTATTGAATAGAGAATAGTATATGATAAAATTATGGCACGAGTTGAAGAAAATAAATCAGACATATTTTTCGTATATGAGTATGGTGGTACCAAAAAAACTTACATTTGGAGGACTATGTCGGCAAAATTAAGATCAAAAGGAGATATTGTCCTAACAGTGGTATCAAGTGGAATTGTTGCTTTGTTTATTTCTGGAGAAAGAACAACACATTGAAGATTCTCTATACCACTAGACATTAATGAGTATTCCACTTGCGTTATTGATTAAAATACCCCCTTTTAGTACAATTGATAGCAAAAATTAAACTCATTATATGTGATGAAGCACAATGCTCCATAAGCATTATTTTGAAGTTGTTGATAGAACTTTCAGAGATGTTATTCACTTTTGTAATAATAAAATTTAGAATATTTCTTTTGACGAAAAAATGGTTGTTTTTGAAGGAGACTTTCAAAAAATTCTACCCGTTTTTCCTAAAGTTTCAAGATAAAATGTGATTCCTGCTATTATTAACTCCTCGGATCTTTGAAATTATAGTGTCATGACATTACATACAAATATGAGGTTATTTATTAGGAGCGAAGATGTTAATGTTAGATAGAGAAAAGTGTTTTTTGATTAGGTATTAAGGATCAGTGATGAAACAAATGGAGAAGAAAGCAATGACAATATCACATTTGAAATTACATATGATTTACTTATTAAAAGCTCAATTGATTCAATTTTAACTATTGTTCATAACATTTATCCATCCTTTGTGGATAACATGAACAATCCAATATTTTTTTCAAGACGAAGTTATACTTGCCTCAGAAAATGATATTGTTGACGATATTAATTAGTACATGTTGTTATTGAACTCCATTGAGTTAAAAATATATTTAAGTTTTTACAATCCATATTTGGTGAATTCAGATGCACCTAATGATGCATACACACCTGAATTTTTAAACACAATGACTATTTATGGCCTTTCAAATCACGAGTTGAAACTCAAGGTTGAAGTACCAATAATGTTATTGAGAAACATAGATCAATCGTATAGGTTGTGCAATCGAACTCGACTAATTATCACAAAAATAGGAAAATAGGTACTTGATGGAAGGATTCTACCATAAAAAATATTAGTAATAAGGTATATACCTGAGTTGTACTTGACAGCTTTTGATTAAAAAATTCCTTTCAAATTTCAACAAAGACAATTTCCTTTACTCATTTCATTTACAATAACTATTAACAAAAATCAACGACAATATTTAAAACACGTTGGAGTTTATTATACTCAATTTACTTTCTCACATGGACAATTATATGTTTTCATTCCAAGAGTTACAACACTTTGATGTTATTGAGTCAAGACACAAACACCACTTTAAATGTAGTGTCGTTTACAAAGAAGTGTCTCAAATTTTAAAACAAGTGTTACTAATCTATTACAATTCTTTATTAATTTTAATAAATTTTTATTACCATAATAAATCTATATCATTTACCCAAACATCAAACTTGTGAGTTATTATTTTTATATTATTTACATCTCTTTTAGTTCATTTGCTTTTTGATCGAAAAAATAACAAATATTTTATGTAATATGACTAGTAAATATATAAATTACTTTTATGCAATTTTTATCATTAATACTAATAATTTAATAGAACATTCATGTGCGATGGGGAGACAACCAGTTTACTATATTCTTCCCATTTTGTTCAAGGTTCCATTGTCTAACAGCCTGTCATAGTTTTTTTAACTCCAATGGTGGTCTTAAGTCCGTTAAATTCAACTAGTCAAAACTAGTTTTACCTTTTGTAATTTTGTGCATAGTTTACCTACACTCACTGTACAAATTTCTCAACACAGTTGATTTGCTCCCAGAGAAGTGGACAGTTGTTTGTAGAAGGATGTAACAAAACATTATAAAACTTTATCACCAATTCCATGAATCAGATTTCATTCCAGGCCATCTGAACTTGATTACAAAAATCTGGGTGATCAATCAAAGGGGTCACCCTATATTCTTGTGCATAATGCTTAAACCCAAGGCAGCAAGAGCCAAATCCTCCAATAAGGAAAAAATATTATATATAATAGCTTCAAGTAGAAAATGCAATGAAAAGTTGCATCATCAAAATGGTAAGATACATTTTGCAAGTCAGTCTCTCATTTGTCAGTCCTGAATGTGCACTGGACTGGATAAATAAATCACACAAGATTTGCACACCACACATGTATAAATAAATATCAGAAAAAGGATCAAGTAATGATAGAACAGTTGTTATGAAGAGAGAGAGAGAAAAAACCACACATACAAACACTTGCTTGACCGACAAAAACATCCTCAACTTTCAAACAGACCAATGGCATTCAAGATTCTGGAACGGAGGCTGCTGCACGTTTGATTGATGCAGACTTGATCAGATGATTATAGCTCCCTTTCTCCTTAAAAAGCTGAGAGAAATGGTGCTTGCAATACAAAATTCCCTCAAGGGCTGCATAATTTGATGGAGTTATAGGACAACCACCGTGTGAACACTTGAAACATGATTTGTGATAGGCCTGGCTTTCCACTGTTACCTACACTCAAAATAAGATATATATCAAAATATAGCAACAAGAAAACTAAGACATTGTAGTAGTAGTTAAGGGTAACTGTGCAGAACTGCAGATTTATAGTAATTAGATTTACTCATTCAGGTAATTATTGGAAGCAGCAGATTCTCCATTTTGGTTACATGTTATATTCTTATGTTAGATTCTCTCATTTCAAGTGAGCGGCAACTTCTGTTTCATGTTTTTAAAGGATCATGAGCTGAATCAGAATATAGGTTTTATCATCTTTGGCTCAGAAACAAAATATGAACACGCAGTTTTCTTTTCCAAATATATCTCCCGATAAGATAAGGAAGCCGTACCACAGTCTACATGTGGTCTCTATCTATATATTGACAATGAAGTTCAGAATCCTAAGATTTTGACAGCACGGCACATGATAGTGTAGGGGAAAAACAAAACATACTTCACATGCCAACAAGTACCACCAAAAGCAAAAGGTCAAGCTAAACAGTATGTTTTCATGCTTGTAATAATTCAGAAAAGTTGTACTGCATACCAGCCTTCTTTAGGCTCCATAAATACTCACAATTTTAGAAAAGATGTTGATGTTAAATGTTTTGTTTACAAATACAAACACACCACCACAGTCAGATAAGGGGAATACTCTAATCTCCAGGATCTATATGGCAGTAATAACTAGAGATACTTATTCATATGGTCTGAAATCTGAATGCTTATATATCCAATCTGTAACAAAGATATAGTATCTGACTCTGTAACAAAGACTTTTAAATCTTACCTTCTCCAATGGATATGCAGTTTTGCCACATGTAGCACATTTCTCTTGTGTCCCAGAAAACATGCCAGCAGCTTTACTAGCGGACCTTGTCTGGAATAAACAGAAGATACCAATAGTTATTCAGTAATACCGAAAGCCATCGACCTGATTTCAAAAAACCCATAAAAATGCAAAATCAAACAAATTTACCAGCTCAGGAGTTGGTTTGTCAGCTGGTTTTGCAGCTGTTCAAAATGAAATTATTGTCAATTAAAGAGCCATCTGATTAAAAAAACAAAAAAAAAATTTATTACACTCAAAGAAAGAGAATCTTACGTGATTGAAAATTCTTGCTGAAGTTTCCGTGCTCTTTGAAGAGCTGCTCAAAATGAGGCTTACAGTAAAGAACACCTTCCATTGAAGAATAATTGCTCAGCTGAAACAAAAAGATCATCAACAAAGATCCTTATTAAAATTTCAAGCTTTAAACTCAAACATAAAAATGTTAATTAAGGCCCTCTCTGAATAAATAACTTGTGTGTTTGGTTCAGCTGTGAAGAAAATTGATCTTAAGTAAATCTGTTTTTGTAAAATTGATTATGCTTTAAAGTGAGTCGGAGGTAAAGTGAATTATGTTTGGATGAACTCTGTAAAAGTGAGTTGAAACAGTAAATTTCATTGTAAAAATCACATTTAGACTCAAAAACTACAAATTTTACCTTCAAATGGAATCAATTCTAGAAAACATAAACAATTCTACTCAAGAGCAACCAAACATATTAAAATCAATTCTACAGATTCGGGATGCTCCAAACGTGAAGCCAAGAATGCACTTAACTAAGTGCTTAAAACATAAGCACTCACATAAGTGCTTCTATAACAAAGAGTGAAATAAAGTCAAACTTTTTCAAAAGCTAATCTTAAAAGCTTATGTAAATAAGCTAAAAATAACTTGTGGACATGTCATATAGATCTCTCAAACAATCTGGCAAGTGAATATTAGTCGATAAAACCTCAATTAAGTTGATCCAAACAGCCCTAAAAAAGTGTTCAACATTTTAAATAGGAACTGATCTATATCGTTAAAGTAATATTTTATTCTCATAAAAATTTCTACTTTCATATATCTATCTACATGCTTTATTTATTCCCCAACTTAAATCAAATAAAACTCATATAAGAATCTTATAATAATGGTAAAGCAGCGTCAAAAATAAGCAAAAGCAAGGATCTAAGCAAAACTCACCAAACAAACACAAACCCAACTTCAACAACATAGAAAATCATCAATGTAGTATAAAATCAACAATGCAACATTAACAAAAAAAATCAAAAAAAAAAAAAGAAAAAGAAACCTTTAAAGTTCCTTTGCAGTGAGTGCATCTGAAGCAAGCTTTATGGTAAGAAGTACCATCAGCCGAAAGCTGATCAACAGGATAAACCGTTTTCTCACAAGCCTTACACTTGAGCTGAGTGCCAATAAACGACATCGCCGTAGCTTCCTAGATCTGAATTGACCACAAATTCGAAATGCAAAAGCTACTAGATCAGCTTCAGAGGATGATTTCTGGTTGATTTTATGTATCAGAAAATGAAATTAATGGTGTAAAGATGAAGAGTGAAATGGATGTAACAGAGTAGAGAAAGTACCGTGGATCGGTGAAGATGGAGATGGGAGGAGCGAAAGGATGAAAGTTGAGAGAATTTTGAAGTCTCTGGTTAGGACTAAGGATGATGAATAAATAGTGATAACGAGTTGTGTCATGGTCACCATTATGTAAATATTTTTTTTTTTAATGGAGTGAATGGTTGGAAATCCACCATAATCTATGATGAATTTCTATCATAATGACAATTTAATTATGAGATAAACAAAGAAAAGAAGATAAGACAAATAATTTCTGCATGCTCACAAACTGTGAAAACTTTCTTATTCACTTTGCAACTGCAAAATACTGTGAATGGTTACTTGATTTTTTTTTTACAAAAATAGGGGTTATTCCCTCTATTTATAACTGAGATTACACCCTAAGTCCAAAGCTTAAAATATCTTGTTGTTACTAAATCAAATCTAATTTATTCTAGACTTAGATCAAATCTATTTAAATCTAAAACAAATCAAATCTTTTCGACACATAGTTTCGACACACTGGATTACAATTTAACACACCACATAATTCATTGTGTCTAAACTATCTATGTTGATCATGGCTCTTAGTCTTCTGAATGCTTCGACTTGCACTGATTTCGTCATGATGTCTGCAATCTGATTCTCAATTCTGCAGTGTTTCAAATTCATCTTCCTATCTGCTACCTGCTCTCGAAGATAATGGAACATCATTTCGATGTGCTTACTTCGACCATGTGTTATTGGGTTCTTTGCCAGATTGATAGCTGACATGTTGTCGATCTTTATAGTAATTGCTCCACGATCTTTCCTTGTTATCTCTTCGACCAAGTTCACCATCCAAGTTGCTTGACATGCACAAAGAGAAGCAGCTATGTATTCTGCTTCGCATGATGATAATGTCACTACTGGTTTCTTTCTTGAATTCCAAGCAACTGGTGTACCATCTAACATAAACACATATCTTGCTGTTGACTTTCGATCTTCAGCATCACTACACCAACTCGAATCGGTGTATCCCACTAACTTGTATTATTTTTCTTTATCAACTACAGGAAACAAAATGCCATAATCGAAAGTTCCTTTGAGATACCTTAGTATCCTCTTCACTACTGCTAAATGTGATACCTTTGGCTTTTGCATGAATTTGCTTACCATACCTACACTGTATGCTAAGTCAGACCTTGTATGACAAAGGTATATCAATGATCCAATAAGTCTTTTGTATTGGGTTGGATCAACATCATCTTCATCTGCATCTTTCGACAATTGTAGTCTTGGTTCTGCAGATGTCGAAGTTGAGTTGCATTCTTCCATCTCAAACCTCTTGAGAATTTCTCCTGCATATCTTCTTTGATGCATCATCAAACCTCTACTGCTCTTGTAGAATTCGATTCCAAGGAAATATGAAATCTCACCCAAATCAAACATTTCGAATTCCTTGCTGAGATCACATTTGAAGTCTTTGATCTCACTCTTGCAGCTATCTGTTATCAACAAATCATCTACATAGAGACATAGTATAAACAATTTACTCTTGCTTCTTCTTACATATACTCCATGTTCAGTTGTGCACTTCACAAATTCCTTCTCCCTTAGGAAACTATCAATTTTCTTATTCCAAGTTCTTGGAGCTTGTTTTAATCCATACAGGGCTTTATGTAGCCTGTACACCTTTCTTTCTTCGTCATGTTTCACAAACCCAACTGGTTGTTTAACATAGACTTCTTCATCTAAGGGTCCATTTAGGAATGCACACTTCACGTCCATCTGACATATGTGCCAACTATTTATTTCTGCTAGACCAACAACCAACCTGATTGTTTCGATCCTAGCAACATGTGCAAAAACTTCATCGAAGTCTATTCCTTCTTTCTTTAGAAATCCTTTCGCTACAAGCCTTGCTTTGTGTCGAGTTACTTCCCCTTTTGAATTCGTTTTCACTTTGTATACCCACTTGACATCAATTTCCTTCTTGCCTTGAGGCAATTCGACAAGTGATCAAGTGTTGTTGTCTTCGATAGACTTCACTTCTTTGTTCATTGCTTTCACCCATTTCAAATCCTTTAATGCTTCAGCTGCATTAACGGGTTCGACATCTGCATAGAAATCATAATGTACTAGCTCACCTTTATTATCTATTACATCATATGATGTAATCACACAATCTTGCAATCTTGCAGGCATGTATCTTGTTCTTTGTTGCTTGTACTTGGTATATCTGTTGGTTCCTCTTGTCGAACTTCTCTTTCGACTTGAGTTTCTAGCTCTTCAAGAAGGATTCCCACTGAATCTTTTTTGATATTATCAATCCAATCCCATTCTTTAAACTCATCTATGATCACGTCCCTGTTGATCACAATCTGCTTTTTCACTGGATCGAACAACTTGTAGCCTCTTGTCGAATGATATCCAACTAGAATCATTTGACTTGACTTGTCATCAAGTTTTCTTCTCAACTGATCTGACACACGTCTATGTGCAATAGATCCAAATACCTTCAGATGACTCAAGCTAGGCTTCACACCAGACCAACATTCTTCTGGAGTAATTCCTTCTAGATTATTTGTAGGACATTTGTTCAAAATGTATGTTGCAGTCGAAACAGCTTTACCCCAAAACTCTTTAGGTAAATTCTTGTCTTTCAACATACTTCTCACCATATTCATGATGGTTCGATTCTTCCTTTCTGCAATTCCATTTTGTTGTGGAGTATAGGGTGGCACCACCTCATGCATAATCCCTTCCTTTTCACATAGTCTGTCGAAGTCTTTCGACACATATTCTCCACCACCATCAGTTCTTAAAACTTTGAGCTTTCGACCGATTTGTCTTTCGACCATAGACTTAAACTTGGAAAATACTTCGATCATTTCACTTTTCTTCTTGATCAGATAAGTCCACAACTTTTGACTGAAATCATCTATGAATGTGTGATCGGTGGATCTGGAACTGACTGTTTAACGCTGGTTCGCGAAATGTCGCGGAAGCAAGAGTCGTCACCGTCTTTTATTTTCTCCAAATGGAAAGGACAAAAGCACAGAAAAATTCCTTATAGAGATTGCTCTCGGTTCGGGAGGTAGATTATAGAAAGGGAAGGTGTTAGCACCCTTTCTATCCATGGTTATCCATGGGCTCTTAGATACTTGCTCATTTGTGTTTTCAAAAATGGTTTGTTTGCTTTTCAACTGTGGGTTTTAAAAAAGTTTCTTTGAAAATTTCAGTTCGACTCTGGTATCGGTCCTCAAGAGTGTTTGAAAAGTTGCTTTCGAAAGCTTTTTGAAAGTGTCGGTGTGAAAAGGTTTTGATTTGTTTTGAAATTAGAGAAGTATCTAGAGTTGTCTACCTACCCTAAGGAATTCGTCTGTGTAGATGTCCTTTAAAGTAGTGCCATCCCACCATTGAGAGGTAGGTAGCACCACCGTTGGAGGTGTTCGGGTCAATTCGAGGTTCGGGACATGGTGATCACCAGAGCAATGGGAAGACACCTTAGAAGCTACCCTCATGCCAGGTTCCCGGATCATGAGGACTTACTAAGACATCCTCTACTCGACGATCACCTTTCGAGGCAAGGCAACAGTGAGGCGTACCCTAGGGGTGGTGTGTGATTTGTGTGTCATGTTCAGTTATTTTGTCTTATTCATGTCAAGGTGATCTATGCGTTTGTTTTTATTTAGACATTCATTCTTGCATGCAATTATTAACAATTAAAAAAGTTGCGGAAATTAAAGTTCCTAAGCTATTACAAAGGCGCGGGTCCACATCGCCAAATTATATCCAGGACCCGATTTGACATAAAATAAAGAAATAAAGTAAAGTGCGAAAGATAAATATTTACACGGCTTTGGGAGAATTACATCAATATTTAAAAGAAGGAATAAATAAAATGCGCGAATCGAATTAAAATTGAAAACGAGGGTGTTGGACCCTTTTGAAGTTAAATTGAAATTAAAAATTAATTAATTATTTATTGAAATAAAAGAAGTGTTTTTTAGGTTTTTTTGTATTTATGAAATAAGAAAATTAAAATTAAAATTAAAAGAAACCCTAATTCTAAGTTATTTTTAATTATTTGAGAAAAATGTTAAAGTTTAACTTAATTTACTAAAGAATTTATGTACATGTTTATTTACAAAATAAATTAGTAATTAATAATAATAATAATAATGAGAAAATTATTTATTAAAAAAAATGATGAAAAAGTTAAAAACCCTAACTTCTACATATTTAATTTATTAAGAAAAATATTAAAGTTTTAAAACCTAAATTAATCTAATTAATTGTTTAAAGTTTATTTACAAAAATAATAATAGTGAAATTAATATTAATAAAATAAACATTTTTTTGATTTTTCTGTATTTTATATTTATTATGAAAATTATTTTATGGAATTAAAAGAAAACAATTAAAAAAACAATTAAAAGAATAAAAAGGAAAAACAAATAAAAATTAAAAAATTGAGCAAACCATAGGGGTGTCTGGCCCAAGGGGAGGTTTTTTTTGAAGTATTGACTCCTGAGTACCGTGGTCTGCATTCTTTGGCCATTGGATTGAGTTTCATGCATAAGTTGTTCTACTTTGGCCATTTAGCTTTTGGCTTTTGGCTTTTGGTCATTTGTGTTCTGGCCTCAACGTTCCTTAATCTTCTCAGGATGTCTGTCTCGCCACGTATTGGGGTCATATGTAAAATATTCTATTTTGGCCATTTGGCTTTTGGCTTTTGGCCATTTGGCTTTTGGCCTCAACGTTCCTTAATGAACCTGCATGGGATCCTGTCTAAATCTGCAGTGTTGAATCTCACGAACACATTAAATAAAATCATAAAATGCAAATAAAGCCAATATATGAAGAAATTTAATGTTT